TAAGCTTTTTTAGTCTCGCTATATATATATATATATGACATTAAGTAAAAAGGGCAGCTTACCGGCATCTGAATGGCATCTGAATGTATTCAGATCTCAGATCTCACCAACTCCACCGGCATCAAAATAAATAGAATGAGCAAAAACAGCAGATGCAGATGGCGGTTGGGGGCCATCTTAATTGTGACAATTATGCAAAAATAACATTTACATACATGCCACTCAATTCATATGTATTTACATATCTAACACCTAAATTTTATTTTGCACATTTATACTACCCACTCAAACCTTTAATAGCACATAAAAAATATCACTATTTTTTAAGTGTAAAACATCTTTTCTTATAAGATGGCAAATATGTAAAAAAAGAAAATTTACATATGCATCGCTCAATTTCTATATATTTACATCTCACACCCAGCCTTTCATATATTTACATATACACGACTCGAATCATTAATATCACACATAAAAAATAGCACTATAATGACTTTAGGTGTGAGATATATATATATAAGAATTGAGTGGTTTTATGTAAATCATTCTATCTATAAAGTATGGCCAACATACCCATCAGGAAAGCAATATCCCTTCACCACCGAAGACCAAAAAGATCATGGCTTCCAAGCTTGAAACTGAAGTGGAAGTAACTTCACCTGCTGACAAATTCTGGGGGAGCATCAGAGACTCTACTGAGCTCTTCCCTAAGATCTTTCCGCAGCATTATCAGAGCATCAAAGTCATAGAGGGGGATGGCAAGAGCGACGGGAGCTCGTTTATGGAGAAGGTATCTTCTTCTTTTGTTTAAGTACAGCATGAGCTAAATTAAGCTAGTAGATGAGACAAAAGTGCCATCGATATGGTTGCAGGAGTTCCTTTCGTTAAGTTTGCAAAGGAGAAGGTTGAGTTCGTCGACGACGCAAACAAGCAGGTCAAGTACAGCGTGATAGACGGCGAGCTTCTGAGTTACTATAAAAGCTTCAGGCCGACTCTTCAGGTGGCTTCCAAAGGGGACGGTGTGGCGGTGGTCAAGTGGACGGTGGAGTACGAGAAGGTGAACGATGAAGTCCCTCCCCCTGAGCTGATACAGGAGATGGCAGTTCAAACATTTAAAGATCTGGATGCATATCTGCTCAAAAACTAGAAGGTGCCGATCCATATCAGCCCTAGATTTTAAGCAGTAATCTATATGAATAAGAGTGGAAGGTTTTATATGTAATAAATTTGTTTGTGGTGGTTTGCTCATCATGATTTGTCCTCTCATATCCCATGCTATTAATAAATTTGTTTATCTGAATCAACCTGTTCTCTTCATCTACAATATATGTCAGAACTAAAAAACTGAATCAAACCAAATATGTTTGATTGATTTGGTTCGGATTCATCTTAAAAGCCTCTAGATTCAGTTTTTTATTGTTTGTTCAGTTATAATTTTCATTAAACAGAACAAACTAAAAAAAATTTGAAAATTTAAAATTAAATGTAGTACTCCATATTATTCATGTGATATGTATAATTGATGATGTTTGTTCATAACTGAACTCCAACTAAAGACTAAATTTAAGATTGTTTGTAGCTGAACCATTTAAACCGAAATAACTTTTGGTGTAGATTGATCTTTTGGATTTTGGATTTCTGTTGTAATTGATTTGACTAATTTGAAAATTAATCTATCTAAACAAACCAAATGCTCTGTGCTAGTAAAATTTGAGACTTCAGATATTTAAGTCTTTCTGCTGGTAGAAGTACCGTAGAATTTACAACGTGAAGGAACTTGGAAACTTGGAACTTTCTTATGTGAAGGTGAAGCTCCATAGGAGAAAGAAATACAAAAGAGAAAAGTTAGCCCCTACTTGCTTTAAGAGCAAAATCAGAGTTCAAAAATTCTAAGAGTGAAAATATATAAAGAATCTAGAGAAACTATAATGACAAGCATTTTCATGATTCTATGTTTTCATAAATAATAGTTTAAAAATCATTACAATTAACATGTATTTTATGTAATTTGAGGCTTTATATGGCTTTGAATTTTCAATAATGCTTCTACATGACATTTTTCTAAATATTTTGAAATGTGAGATGGTGTGATAAGATCATTTTAGCTCGTATGAATACAAATATTTAACGGTCTTATCCATCCAAAAACAAGTAGTTTAAAGTAATTCCATTGCACGTTCCTCGAGTTCTAGTGTTACGAACAATCTCATAAGAAAAAATAAGTCATCAATAAGCTTTTTTAGTCTCGCTTTATAACATGTACAATAAGATAGTGTTTGTAAATTCATCGAAGTTTCCTTTTTTAAAAAATCATTGTCTTTGCATGGAGAGAAGAGTAGAAGACTGACTACTTGAGCAAGGAAAATACTAGAAAGAAGACATTGAACAAGACATTTTCTTGTAGTATCTCATTTCTATAAAGCTTCAAAGAAAAATGAAGAGAATCATTAAAGAAAAAAAAAAGAAAAATAGAGGAGCTAACTTATTTAGGTTCATTTAGAAACAATTAGTAACAGTAAGAAATGACTATGAAGTCAATGAAACATCTCCCATGTAGAAATATATTTGTTTAGCTCGATAGAGAGATAGTTGATGCAAAACTGCCTTCCAGTAAACATGGAAACTTCTAAAGAGATCCCAATCAGTAGTAACCAACACATTTCAAATACTTGAATAAACATATAATATTGTATCAAATATAAAATTTTGGCATATTGACCTTTAGCTTTCAAACAAGGTTTGGATGTCGCATTAAATAAAGAAAATGACATAAATTTATTTAAATTTCAAGTAAAACTAAGCAATTATGAAAGTATTGCTTACACACAGTTGCACAATGGTCATTTATGACCATCTCTTCTTTGATTTTTTTTTTATTAATAGTTCTCAATTATTTTTGTGAATTATGTGCATTTTTTATACATATTTTCTAAGGTAAGAGAATGATGCATATTTCATTACACTTAATGTATTCAGATTCATATTTCACTACAGTTAATATATTCAGAAAGTGGCTTGTAAAAAAAAACTTGGGTTTTTGTCTTTTTTGCAAAGTAATATTTGAATCATTCACTTCATGCCTTAACACAATCATTCGAGCAATCAAATATTAAAGCTTATCAAAACATGGTTTTTATATGCCAAGCTCTACTCTGTGGACGAGCAAAATTTGAAACCTCGCAAACTTCGATAAAAAAAAAAAAATCTAATGGAGGTTAATATAAGAAACATCACGAGAAGGGTCAAATGAAACAAAATTATTTTCAGCCTCAATAGCAACTGCAACAAGTGATGATGTTTCAATCATATCAGCCACATTTTCCTGTATCGTAGTACCAACAGTACTAGCAAAGGGCAATAACGTATCAACACCCATTCGGAGCAACCCAAGCAAGCGATTCCACCCTTTAACATTTATTATGATGCAGCAAGAAACCCGTGAAACACTTGATGTGGTAACATATATCATCTCTATTTTTAAGCAACTGATAAGAGCATTATTTTACTCAAGGGAATCATGTTCATTCATTTCAAATAAATTTATATCTACTGCATCGATGTATTCATTACAATTGCATCTATCCATAATTATGCCATAGGGCTCTTCCGTGATTGTTACTCAATGTGTCCATGATTTTGATATTATCATCAATGACAAGCATATGCCTGCTACATTTATAGCATTCTCACTAGCTGAGATTTATGCAATTTTAGATATGGATTGACTATCTACGTATCCGAATATTATAAATTGTGGTAAGAGATGGGTCATTTTTAGTATAATTGGTTTGTTTGCTTTTTTTTTTTGTTTCAAGGGTAGTAAATAAGTCATTTCTTATTTAATATCAACAATTAAGGCTTGTAAGTTGATCTCCATAAGTGTGTTGGTTATCTAGTTCATGTGATAGATTCTGAGAAATTCAGTGTTACTTTAGATATTGTTTTAATGGTCCGAGTATTTGCTAATGTATTTCCTGAAGATTTGTATGGCTAGCAACCGGATTGTGAGATTGAGTTCAAGATAGATGTACTTTAGGCGGCTATTCCATTTTCTCAAGTACCATATTGGATGAAAACTGTCGAACTCCAAGAGCTTAAGGTTCGGTTATAGGAATTGTTCAATAAAGAATTCATTTGACCCAGTATTGTACATTTGGGGCACCAATTTTATTTGTGAAGAAAAAATGAAAAAATATGAGATTGACCATCAACTAAAAGAGATAGAAATAGATGACCATGAAAAACACGTATCCGAATAGATGGTCCATTTGACCAAGTACAAGATTCCTCTGTACATTCCATGATTTACTGTCAATCTGGCTACCATCAATTGTAGATCAAGAATGAAGACAATTCAAAGATTGTCTTTCGATCTCGATATGATCATAATGAATATCTAGTGATATCATTTGGTTTGGTTAATGCCCCTACTATCCTTAGAAGTTTGATGAATATAGTTTTTAAACCTTACATTGATTGATTTGTTATTATCTACACCGATGATATTTTTGTTTACTCCATAGATGAAGAGGAGTACGCCCAAAATCTCAAAACAACACTGAATACTCTTTGAGAGAACAAATTTTAAATCAAATTCTCTAAATATGAATTTTGGCTTCAAGAAGTGGCATTTATGAGCTATGTTGTTAGTGGATCTAATATTTCTATAGGCTCTGCAAAGGTTAAAGCAATAATGGATAGGCCAAGGCTGAGCACTATCACCAAGATTCGTAATTTCTTTGGGTTAGTTAACCAGTATCGGAGATTCATTGAAAGTTTTTCTTGTATTGTTGTACATCTATCAACGTTGACTCAAAATGCTATTAAGTTTGAATGGTCTGATGCTTGCGAGAATAGTTTTTAGAAGTTCAAGAATTGTTTTGGTGATAGCTGACAACGAATTTATATATGCTTAAAATTACAAGAACTTGACACCCCTACTAGAAGATTTAAATCCCCGACAACGACGCCAAAAACTTGACAGCGACTTTATATATGCTTAAAAAATACAAGAATTTGATAACGCTGCTAGAAGATTTAAATCCCCGGCAACGGTGCCAAAAACTTGATGCAACTTTTAATATGCAAGAATTTATGAACCCAAATTTATATATTTATAATGATTTTGTAAAGTCATAATTTCAAATATGTATCACTCAAGTAATACAAGGCTCTAGTGGAGTCCCGTTTATCGATCCCACAGGGAAGCGAGGTAAGAAGACCTTAGTCAAATCCTACTCTAATACAATTAGTCCTTAGTTTGGAATGTCGATTAAAATGATGTTTTATCTAGCAACTACACCTAAATGCAAGTATTAAATATAAAGATAGTAACTATAACTAAATGCAAATATTAATTCTAAAGATAACCCTTTTTGGATGAATTGGTTTGGAGAATTTTGAGATATTAAAAACTACTATTCTTATGTAATGAATTGGATAATGTAAATGAATGAAATGCATTAAATATTGTATGTGTCAAATAGGAGCAATCCTATTCTTTACCCTTTGGTCCGGACGCAAAGAACATTGACTAACCTTGTGCTTGTTTACTGAATTCGTGGTTAGGCTGGGAGGATACCGGCTCTCACTTCGGAGCTCCCACGTTCCCCTCGCCTGAGGGCTAACATCTC